CCAACAGCTTACTCCAAAGTGGAACAAACCAGTTCTGCTTGTGATAAGATGGTCTCTTTGGTACGCCCCTCCTCCATTGCCAGCACTCTTCCTTGTTGACAGTCTTGTCAAGTTCAGTTTGAAGAACTGGTTTGTTCCACTTTGGAGTAAGCTGTTGGAGGAAGAATCAGTTTTGTGTTGTGTGTTTCCTTGACTGATGAAGCCTTCCGGATCGAAGGCGAAACGTTTCAGCACAAAAACAAAAACAACTGTCCAGATGACCTGACTGAAAAATGTTGGATTTTATACCTGGATTATTGAGCATGGGCTTTGTTGTTTTCAACCAGTTTGACAAGACTGTCAACAAGGAAGAGGGCCAGCAATGGAGGAGGGGCGTACCAAAGAGACCATCTTATCACAAGCAGAACTGGTTTGTTCCACTTTGGGGTAAGCTGTTGGAGGAAGAATCAGTTTTGTTGTGTCTTTCCTTGACTGATGAAGCCTTCCGGATCGAAAGCGAAACGTTTCAGCACAAAAAAAAGAAACTGTCCAGATGACCTGACTGAAAAATGTTGGATTTATAAGAATGCTATTTTTGACGGGAGTTGATGCTTTCAATGCCCAGAAAAGTGAGAAAACTAGTGGCGTGATTATGTGTTACAACGGCCTGCCCCGCCCGAGCCTTTGAAGCAGAGCTGCTGAATCTTCCCGGCCACATGGGGGCGCTGTTCGGGACGTCCATGTTTCTACGTCATCACGTTCCACCGAACACGACGTATCGGCGTTACAGTTGGCTCCTGAAAGCTGCTACAGACATGTAAGTTGAATGAAAAGATGTTAAAAGTCGCTTTTCTTTACTGCCGTATCTCTGTTTCAGGTTGTAGAACACGGTGTTTATTGTTGCTGCTGGCAGAGAGTTTATCGACTGTTCACCGTGAATGTTGATGCGTGTCAAACCGGTGTGAAATGTGTTCAGTTAGAAGACGCAAAATGCGGGACGCCGCTGTCCTCACGTCGTGTGTAGCTGTGTGTCTCCTCCTGGGCTTCAGCCAGGCTGCCAGACAAGGACAGGACATCAGGTGTGGAGGTAAGTGTCTCTCTGTCTCAGCACACTCCGAAAACTCGTCACGTGTCTGATTCTCAACTTGTCCTCAGCCTGCAGGGCTCTGGTGGATGAGATGGACTGGGCCATCTCCCAGGTAGATCCCAAGAAAATGATCCAGACTGGCTCCTTCAGGATCAACCCCGACGGGACTCAATCCATCAGAGAGGTTGTTATTAATAAATATAACACATGATGTTGAATTAAAGCGCATTAAATGAATTTGCAATTGATGCCCAGACCATTTTTCTGGGTTTAAAAATAGAGTTACTGTGATTTAAAATGCAAAATGTTGAATTTCCTTTGAAACACATGTGCAAAGTTTCTACATATTGTTAGATTGTTGTGAAACTTTAAGCAAACGCTCTTTGATACATGTTCAGACGCACACGAATCAGTTAGTTTTTAGTAAATGACATCACAAACCTTCATTCACCCCAAAGGTTGAGTTTGTTAGCACATATAATTCTATGGTTATTATCACTATTGTCATGTTGATGGTGAAAACATGCATGTGCTGATGAGTTTTGGATTTTTGATAAACGCATGTTTAATTTCAACTAAACACGATGGTTAGTTGTTTTTACGTGGTGACAGCTTTTGTTGGAGCTTAATTTTTTTTTATCATACCTCAAGTATTTCTCAAATAGGAAATGAACAACTAGATGTCAAATTCAGTTATTTTCCAATTTTTAGTCCATGCAGATTCATATTATTACAACCCACTAGGTAGAAAATGTAAATTTTTAGGGGATGGTCCTGTTAAGTAGGAAACTCAAAATCTATGGTTAAAGCCAAAATTGCAGTTGAGTCACAGTGATGGTAACAAATCGACTGCAAGCATCAAAGATTGGAACCTTTTTATAAATAAAGGACTAGCAGTCCTGGAAGGAATGCCCGCTGCCGTTCGTGCCAGTATTTAAAAACAAAGATCATCATATGTTGATTCAATTTTAAACAATCTTGAAAATAATACACACGATCTCTTAGCTCATGGAGTGTGTTGGGAATGACTTTCAGCTTCTACATCACATTTTGGCTCAATGTCTGTGTAAAACCAGACATTTTTTGTGATTTCTAACATCAATTAGCTGTGGTGGCCATCTTGAATCAGGTTGACTCAAAAAGGTAACTCGTTGAAGACGTTTTTCCAATGAACACGTTCTGAGCATTTACTTAAAAATGATTCTCTGGTGAATGTGATATTTTTGCTGATATTAGGCGCCTAATGTAATATTTTGCATAATCCAACTTTTTTTTAAATACTCTTCAGGAAATTCTCTTGTTAATGTATATATACTGTTGTGTGCAAAAGTTATTAACACTAAAAGTAACATTAACTTCATCCAAAGTGCAGAATATTTCTTACATTTGTAGGATTGTGGCTCTGCAGAGATGAGTCCAGTTGCTGCAGGAAGTTAAGTTGACTTCACTTGTGTTTTAAGCTGCTAATTTAAACTGTAACTTAAAGACATGCATGAATCATTAAGACCGTTGATACATTTAATTCTCAGCTGGAGGGACCGATGAGTTATCACTGAAGTAAAATCATAATTTTTTTTTTTTTGCTGGTTTTAAGTTTTTGTTCTTTTTGTGTTTTCCGGCACCAGGTTCCTCTGGCTCGCTCTGAGGGGAACCTCCTTGAGCTGATGGAGAGTGTGTGTGAGAGGATGCAGGACTACGGGGAGCGCACGGACCCTTCCACGAGCAGGAAGTCCTACATCAGGGTCAAGTCTCGGAGCGGTGAGGCCATGGACCTTTCTGAGGCCGCGCTGGATTCCAGAGTCACTTCCAGTTTAAAGTTTGCAGTGAGTACAGCTTTCTGTGCAGCCCTCTGCACAATCCAAGGAGTTTAAATGAATGTGATTCAGTCCTGACCTTTATTAGCTCAACTTATTTACTGTAGTTGGGGACTGCCTATATAAGGCAGACACCTCTTATTATTATTATTCACCTCAGAAACTGTTTTCTTAACTTTACATCTTAACTCTTCCGTCAAATTTAACGCGGCCCGAGCCACGTGTACCCCTCACAAATGTATCAAAACAACCGGCTCATTACCGTGTTGTGTGCTGTTACCGGTACTTTAATTGGCGTTTCGAGTTACCATGGCGACGTAATTTGCTAACAAAGATGCCATTTTTCCCTATAAACACCTGACAGAACACTCCTCACACTAACTGCTGCTGTGAAGTCACATGACTTGGAGTGTAGAGGTCCCTGTTGTTTGAAACTCACAGAAAGAAACCATCAGATGTAACTCTAGAACTGATTAACGTTTGGAGCCATTTTGATTCAAGATGGCTGCCACAGCTATCTCAGCTAACACAAAATTGACTATAACTCTGTCATTCTTTGAGATATTGAGCTGCGATGTACAGTAGTATGGTTGTAGCTGGCAGCGACTTGTTATACATTCCTAATGTAAATCAAATATCCAAGATGGCCGCCTTAGCTAAAGGACAAAAAATACAGTAACGCAGCCATTTTTAGAGCTATTCAGCTGAAATTTGGTATAGTGGTAGTTGACAGCAATCTCTAATAGACTTGGACTGATAATCAAAAATTCAAGATGGCCGCCTGAGCAAAAAAGGAAAAATACTATAAATCAGCTAATTTTAGTAATATTGAGCTGAAATTTGGTGTGATGATAGCTGAGAATGTTCCCTATCACATACTGAATCCAAATTTAAAAATCCAAAATGGCCACCTTAGCTAAAATGGAAAAAGAAAAAAGAAAACTCAGCCATTTTTAGAGCTATTCAGCTGAAATTTGGTATAGTGGTAGTTGAGAGCGAACCCCAACACAAAATCAACAATTTAAATCTGCAGCAGCCTGGCAGTCCCTGTCAAAGTTTCTCCGGGATCTTTCTAGTTGTTATTGATAATCCTGACACTCACTGTGAACTTTAACCATTTATGACTCACTTCTCTAGTGTGAAACGATCGTTGAGCAGCATGAAGATGAAATTATTGAATTCTTCGCCCACGAAACAGAAAATGTCAAAGACAGACTCTGCAGTAAAAGGACAGGTACGTTTACTTTTCAACTCCTTTGCTCAGTTTTTGATGTTCTGCTGCAGTGTTGTGTAATAATTGGTTGTTTTTCCTGTTTTGGGGCTTCGCAGATCTCTGTGACCACGCTCTGACCATGCCCCATGATGAACTTTGATGCTCTCAGCAGAAACGTTTGGTGCTGCTTCATGTTTCCAGTTTTCACTCCTCCACTGCTTCCAGCAGTGATTCAGGATGAAGACACATCTTTATAGAAGATTACAGAGGATTTAGGACCATGTTTAGTCTTTTTTTATGTGCATTTGGTTACCTACTTATCTGTTGTGTTTGTTTTGTTCACACTATTATGCGATGACTTTTTATTTTAAATACTTATTAAATTAAAACTGTGAATCGGCTAAACGACGTGGGAATTGCCTGCAGATTCAGGCTTTCTCGTGTGATATTGGGTCTTTTATTTATGTTGTTCGTTCATAATAAAAGAAAACGCTCCACGACTTAATGTTAACAGCAGTAAACTACTTCCTGTTTACTTCATGTTGGCTAACGGTTAACAGTTGGATTGATGCCAAATGATGCTTTAGAAGAGTTTGTAGCGTTCTCTGCTGTGTTTTGGTCTGTCAGAGAACAAATTATTCCAGTTTTGGTTTTTGTTTCAATCCATTAAATCAAACTAAAAAGCTACTTTTTTAAAGTTGCATGAAAAATATATATATATTATTGGGTTTATGTGAAATGAGTTTAATCAAAACAATAATGTGCCTTTATCAGCAAATATTCCTCAGGTCGTTCTCTCTAAAAAAAAAAAAAAACTTTTAATAATCAGCAGTGTGTTTGTTGTATCTTTTTGTTGCAAATGTATTATGGTTCAACTAGAGCACAAGCTTGTACCGTCATTTTTCTTTGTTTCAGTTTAAAGGTGATATGGATCCACACTGAAGTGTAATGCATGCTGCACCTCCTTTGCTCTTGTTTTACCGACAGAATTACAAAACGCTCCCGTCTTCTTCATTGTTGTCTTTAAATGTGGTGCATTTACTGCCTGATGTTGTGAAGATGTTCACATGTGGTTTTATAAATCTTGAATGGTTTTGCTAGTTTTACCTAACAGAAACCATAAAGAAGCTCAACTCAAAACATTATTTCATTTGTAATTTATTAAGTTATTAGCCTTTTTGTCCTCGATGCTTTTTGACTAAACATGACCAGAACCAACTGAATTCTCTTAATTAAATATGAGCGTTAAGATCTTCTCAAAGTTTAGTTTCTTCAGTGTAACCTCAGCAGACAATAAGTGTTGCAACATGTTGATACCTTCACCTCCGTTCATGTCTGTCCTATGAAAAATGCAACTGTCAGCCTGCGTCTGAAATATCTTGTTACTGGATCAACTTTTGAAATAGTTTTGTCTTCAAATATATTTCTATAACAATCTGATTTCAGTATGTCTTTTCTAAAAAAAAAAAAAAAAGACGACGTCTAAAACATCTCACTCCGGCATTTTCCCAGAACTGAATCTCAAATCTGAATAACAGTGACACGATAAAAAAAAACTGGCAAAGAGTTACCAAGTTTTACTAAAAGCATCAAAGATAAAATGTTACATGTGGGATAATTTTGATTTTATTAAGTTAAAAATCAAGGAACAGCCTAAAAAGCTAAAAATCATTTAGTCAAGTTATGCACATTTACAGAAAGGTTTAAAGTTGTACTTTTAATGACGGAACACCCGACGCCTGATCTCTTAAGACGTGTTTAGTGGGAACGCTGAAAAGTTTTATGTGCAAACAAATTTTTAAATGCAATTTGAAGATATTAAGCCATATATTTTTAATATAAATGGTTATTGTGCAGTAGGGTTATTTGAGAGGGGCAGCACGGTGGTGCAGTGGAGCTGCTTCCTCTCAGCGAGCGGGTCGCCCTGGTTCAAATCCTATCCAGGAGCCTTTCTGGGTGGAGTTTGCAACTTGTCCAGCATGTCCCCCGCCTCTCACACAGTGATAGCTGGACATGGGCACCAGTGACCCCCGTGACCCGAAAAGGAAGAAGTGAGTAAAGATAAAGGATGGATTATTTGAGCCTGGTTTTATTTAATGTCTTCCTCAGTAATAGTTTTTGTTCATTCTACAAATGTAAATGATCAAATAATAAACACTAAACATTCATGTTTACTCATTTTAAAAATGCTAAAGCTCAAATAAGAACACGGGACAACAGAAGCAGTGATTTAAAAGAGCTTTAAATGTATTTTAACGCACTTCATGCTTTATATACACACATCAAACTGTTGGCTTTATTGTGCCAGAACCGCACACTCAAACTTCACTAAACGCTCCTCAGTTAACTCTCAGCAAAATGTGCGTGGTGTTCGTGCACACGTTTACCAAAACTGACAAATTTAGATACTTCTCTCTAAAAGCCCAAAAGTTATATCAACATAAAGAAACGTGTACTACAAATGATCTATTTGTTAAATACTGCACAGATTGAATGTTGTAAATTATAGTTTAATTTATGGGATAAATGTTGATTTACAGACTTATTGAGTTGTTTAAAATGTTACCAACGTTTAATACCAAACCGTGTCAGAGGGAATCTGTCTCCATCTCTGGACGCTCTGCTGCTGCTTCACTTTCCTCAGAGGAGGTTTCATCGTCACCGGAGCAGCGTGTCTCTCCTTCAGTCGTGTCAGACTTCTCTTCATTCTTCTCCATCTTGGTAGCGAGTCTTGTTTCGTCATCAGCTACAATAACGGTGTCTTCAGAGCTGTGGCTGCTGCAGGACTGAGTCTCTTCATCCTGCTTCGTGTGCTCCATCTCGGCACATTCCCTTAAAACGTGTTCCTCTGATTCTTCAAAGACGGTGTTTTTGGACTTCACCTTCACCACAGCATCTGGACAGCTGATGGTTTCACTGGTGCACTCTGGATCCCACGACTCACTCACTTCTTCCTCTTCGCTTTCAGAGTCGGGGGCTGTGTGCTTCCTGATGCGGTTCACCACGTCCCGAAGAGTCTTTGGGGACTGGACTTTTTGTTTGTGTGCAGCCGATGGAGAAGCAGGAGGAGCATTGTCCTCTGGAGGAAGAGGAGGAGAGGAGCTGAGAGGCAGAACTGAAAGAAAAGGTGAGGACTGGTTGGATTCTTCATAAGAGTCCAGATGAAAAGGAGGAGAATCGGTTTCCACAGCAGCAGCGGTGTCACATTTTGGAGGTGAAGAACAGACTGAGTCAATTTCCAAAGAAGGGGCAAAGATGGTGTCTGGATCAGGAGGAGGTGGAGGAGAGTCTGAAGCTAAGAAACAAAAGGAGTCGAAGGATTCATGCCTCAAAATGTCTCTTTTTATTTCAGTTTGAGTGTCTGTGGTTCTGCTTTGGCTCAGATCTGCGGTAAGAACTGGACTGATTTGTAATTCCTTTCGAGCATTTCCGGTTCCCTTCTCGCAAAAATCATTTTCCTCTTGACAAAAATCTAATTCTTGTTGGAATATGTTTTCATCTTTGTGACCGCTGCGTACATTCTCTTGACTGTCGTATTCTGCTTCAGGTGTTTTAGCATCTGTAGGATCCTTGTTGGTTTCTTGAGGAGGCTGCTGCTCGATCCGGTTTCCGTCCTTCACAGAAGCAGCGCCTTCAGTTTGGGCCCGTTCATCTTTGGATGTCTGAAAGGTTTCCTTCAAATTCTTCTCTGGTTCTTCATCAGCCTCTTCTGTTTGTTGCTTTCTAATGTCTGGTTGGTGATGTTCTTGTTGCTGCGACCTCTCTGATGCCGGGGACTCTCCTTCGACAGTTAAATGGGATGCTTCGTCCTCTTCGCCTTTGTGGTCAGCAGGAGGAGTTCCTGGGAGATGGTCTGTACAGGAGGTGGACTTTAAGGAGTCGTCTGCTGTTTCGGAGGGAAGAGAAGACAGTTGGGGCAAAGGTGAGGTGTTGGGGTGAGGAGTGAGGTTTGCATCTGGAGTGTGTGAAACCAGTTGAAAATCAAGGCCTTCCTCTGATGTCTTCAAAAGCAATGGAGGAGAGAACAAAGCGGAGTTACAGAGGTCAGGAAGTGTAGATTCATTAACGGGCAGAGTTTCATCTCGTCTTTGGTCCTTTTCACTTGTGGTTTCAAGATGAGCATTCGTCGTTTCAGCTGAAGTTTTCTCGTCTGCGTCATTGTCTTCAGACAATCTGATCTCCTCACTGCATTTTAAATACTCTGGTACCTCAGTTTGGACGACCTCGTCCTCCCCAGCTGTGTCCTCGGGAGTTTGCTCAGACGGTTCTGCCTCGTCTTTCAGCTCTTTAACGTGACATTCAAAGACTGATGCTTCGTCAGGTTGCTCCTTGTTGACGTCGTGTAGCGATATCCCGAGGATTCGTTTTGCACGCTCCCCCAAAGTTTCTGTTCCAGGAAGTAGAGATGGCTGCGCTCTGGAAAAGCAGGCATCAGTTTCGTGACCTGCATTTATCTGCACATGGGTTGCATCTTCGGTTTGATCGCTTGATACGTCTTGATTGAGGTGGTTTGGTTCACGTGAAACTGTTTGATCGTTGGTTTCAGTGTTGATCGAGGAGACTGGATAATGAACATGCTCTTTCTTGGGCGATGGAATCATCTCCACTTTGACAACAACACAGCTTGTGTCTATGACCATTAGACCCTTTCTGTCCTCAGTGTCTTCTTTAGTGTCGCTGATCATGGGATGATCACTGACATTACCAGTTTTGTGCAGGTTTAGAACGTCATCCGAGTCTTCCTCCAAATTCTTCAGGGGAGGTGAAGTCATGGAACTAGGCTCCTTCCATAAAGGATATTTGACGGACGCAGGCTGCACCATCTGACTCCCATGTCGCCTAAACGTAAAGTCGTCATCTGCAGTAACATTTTCCAGGGAAGCATTTGCCTCTGCTTTGATAGTTGGATCATCTCCAAGCATCTCATGTCCTGGTTTTGTAGCTTTAAGGCTTTTAACATCAGAAGGACTCTGCTCTGTGGATGTTGATGCTTCAGAGTCCACTTCATCTGCACGCTGGCTGATCTCATGTCTGTTCTTCAGGTCAATGGAAACATCTCTTTGAACGTTGGTTTGGGAGATGCAGAGCGGCAACAAAGGCGTTTCAGAGGGGTTGGCCATTCGAGACACCAGGCAGAAAATGGTCAGGCCACCTGTTTTTTTGTTCAGCCTGAATTTCCTTCCTTCGATGACCTTTGAGGTTATTTTTGAATTCTGAACCGCCTGTGGATGTTGTAGAGGTAGCACACCTTCAGTTTGCATGTATGATTCCTGTGTTTTTATGGCACTGTCTGACTGTAAAGCGTCTCCGTCCTGACTTGTGTGTTTCATTCCTTCTAATCCCGGGCAGGTCTTGCTTCCGTCTGGTGTTCTGAATTCCTCTTTCTCCATTTTTGGATGGCCATGTTGTTTTATACTGGTGTCACAGAAGGGTTTCACTGGTGAACTTTTCTGTGGATTCTTGTAGGAAGGAGGGGCAACGTATCCAGGAGGTTGGCTGAATGCCATTCTTTGGTAGCTGTTTTCCTCTGTGACGTTTGTATTATGAGTTGGAGCTTGCAGCCTTCGTCTTCTGTCCCACAGCTCGGATATTCTGTTATTTGGATTTATTTGAACATGTTGCATTTGAGGGCCTAGCAGCCCCTGGGATGTTCCCTGTAACTCTGCCTCCACCCGCCGCCTCCTCGGCAGTGAGTGACTGTAACGAGCAGCCCAGGCCTCCAGCTCTCGATAGTTGTCGTCGTTCCTTCTGGCAGATACTTCTCGGTTGTAACTGAGAGGATTACTGGGCTCCCACCTCCTCTGCTGCCACCCCTCCCTCAGAGGTCCTCTATCACAGTCCCTCGCAGCTCTCTGAGATGTAGTCCACTCCCCGACACCAGCTTCATGTTGAGGATATGCCCCTTGGTGGTGCTGAGTGTCCAGAATACCAGGGAAGTGGAAAGAGGAGGTGGGTTCGGTCCAGTTTACGTACTCGGGTAGAGCAGCTCTTGATGCTGGGTGAGTCCATTCACTGGACTCTCTTTCCGTTCCAAAGGTCAAAGGATAATGAGACATCTGATGCCGGTTGTGATAGCTGTGGGTAAAACAAAGGAAACGATGTATGCAAGGTCAGACTGGAATATGTTTTCAACCTGCTGGTGCACATCAGTAGATCTGTGCTCTAGTTTTGAACATTAAATGTTTTGTTTGTTGTGGAGGGTTTCAGCTGCTCAATCATTGGCTTCATTTCACCTAGACACTCATTTTAATTCTAGGGAATGCCGTTATAAAATGCATATAATGTGGTTTAATGTTGTCTTAATGAACGAAGTCTCTGAAAGACTTTTGTTTTGTAGGGAGCTGCTCCAGAACTTGTTTATGTTTGGTTCTGCACTAATGATGCTGATGCTGACGTGGAAGGTCTTTGTTTATGACACACTTTTAGTGATGCAGACGCTGGATTTGAAACAAACACAGATTATTCTGTTTTGGGGCCTGGAAAACATGACATCTATAATGTCCTTCTGTAATTTAAACTTTGATATTGTCCTTTAAAATTATATTTCTTTCATCTCAGCTCTGTTCAGAGTAAAACAGTACATTTTTTGTAATTTCAGCTCTTTATGATCTTGTTTTTCTGTAGATTTTTTTCAATATTTTAATGTGATTTTCAAAAAAATCATTACTATCTAATCACTTGGTCGTTTTACATCCAAACCGTTTTACTATCATCTCCCCAAGCAGTAAAGAACGTTCACAAATCTTTACTTCATTGATGACTTATTGACAAAAAACAAACATCTGTTTTAACATCTGATTTGTCGTCTTTTCACCGTTTCCAGATGTGTACACGATCATTCGAGCATTACATTCGTTCTTAAATATGTTTAGCACATCTCATTCTTCAAATAGACGCGCACTTCATTGCCAGCGTTACCAGATTAAAATTATTTTTTTAAATCAAATTTTAACATTCTGTTGTATTTCATCGTCTGCAACAATAAAGCAAATACTTTTCCCAGCGTACATGTGACTATGAAAAATAACTACTAAACAAATAGCTTCAAAGTCTTTCATCGTCCTATGAATCCGTTTTCACTCGACTCACTTGTGTGCACAATTTCTCACAGGAACTGTACCAAGTCTGGAGTAAACGTGCGATTGTCTCTGATTTTCAGACCAAAACTCCATCATCACCCCGATCACAGATCTGTAGAGACAAAACATGTTTGTTTCTCTTTATAGCCCAATTAGAAATATTCAAATCTTAACTCAGAAATGAGCTAATTAACACTTATAACTTGATGTGACTTGACTGCTTAAAGTTTCTCAAGAATTAATCAGAAAATCAGAGTATATATATATATATATATTATATAAACACAAGCACACATGAACACATACCTTCAGCTGCTGTTATCCAGTTCTTGCCCTTGTTGCCCATGAGGTGACATGATGTTTAATGAAGTCCAAACAGGAGTGTTTTAAGAGGACGGTGCTGTTCAGTCCCCCTCCCACTCTTTACACACACCCACACACCCAACCCCTCCATCCATGCAGCCGACATAGTTCACAAACATGGTAGCAGTTTTATGCAGTCTTATTTCTTTAATGAAATGTCACAAAAAGTCAAAATTTTCAAAAACCTGTATAAAAATAACACAATCTTAAGATTTCTCTCAAAATAGGAAAGTGATAAAATCACTCAATGGTGTATTTAAAACTTTCAACATGTTTTAGGCGTTAAGGCTTTAGGGTGTCTCTTACAGGCATTTCATGCACTTTGGTGTCATTCTAATCAGAGAGATAGCAGCACAGCTGAGTAATTTTTACTTAGTCTGGGATCTAAAAACAAATTATATGTTTCTTATTAAACAAATCATCCACACCTTTCAGTTTGTCCAGGACTGAATATCAAGACAAATAAAAGCCAGTCCAGTGATCTGCGTGTTTTGTGACAGTTGCGTGGGAGGTGTCAGTCGGAGCGTGGCGATAGAGATCTGTTGTTTTTTTCGGCTGAATTGTGGCAGAGGGAGTGATGGCAGCAGTCAGGTCGTCTCCCTTTTCTTTAAAACTCTCCAGCGTAACAAACAGGCTTTCCTTTCCTGAACAGAAAACCTGTACATCAGCAGAGTGCAGCAGAGAGGGGATGAACAACAGGCTGCTGGACAGAATAGACTGGAATGAGATGAATTTGGAGTTTTATACAGATCAATAAAAACTGTTGTGGAAATCACTGAGCTGTTCACCACAGATGGATTACGTCAAAAAAGTCAAAAGGTGAATGTTCACATTGTAACGAATGGGGGGAAAAGCATATTTGTATAACGAAAAATGGTGTAAAGTCTAAAATATTCACTTTACAGCTGATTTTTTTTTTAAACTAGCTGTCCTATATTGTTTAATTGCTTTTTTAGACAAAGCAATTCTTTTAATTTGGTGATTATTTGTGCCAAAATAAAAAAAGACTGATCTTAAGGCACACGGTTGATTGTAATGCTGAGCTGTACCAATGAAAAAATATGAGGTACAAAATACAACGTACTTTGACAAGGTCTGGAAAACTTAAATCACTCATCATCTAAAACAGGCATCTAAAAATATAAACTTCACCAAAGAAACCAGACACGCTCCTGCTGTCACTGCAGAGTCGCCCTGTAGACGTTATTGTTCTGTTCGTCATCACGGTGCACAAGCTCCACGTTAAATCTGCTCGGTAAAAACTCCTCGTAGAAACTTTGAGCCTGGTGCTCCATGCGCATTTTGGATGAGAGATACGCCGTAGCTCCGTTTTTGCACAGATGAGCCAGCGTTTCCACCAGCAGGGGGTACGTTTCTGGGAGGTAAATAATGTCTGCACAAAGCACCAGGTCCCAGTCAGAGGGGAAGTTTAGGTGGTCCTGACCCCAAGACAGAGGGAGGACGGTGGGAGAGACAGGCCAACCATCAGATGGAGCGTTGGCTGAAACGTTGGCCTGAAGCTGCGGAAGGGCCAGGGGGAGGTCAGTAAGGGTGACCTCTGCACCTGAAACAGATTATAATCCCATGTGATGCAGAGAAAACTCACATGAACATCAGATGACTTTATATAAACGCCTCTCATGCTATGTCTCTGAAATAGCACAAAGTATGCAGTAGTTAAAATTACAACAACACAAAAAACAAAGCGATTGCAGAATCAAGATTAGTGCAGGACTGTATCCTCTGACGATCATGGTAATACATGGCATCTATACGTACAATTATATTATTTTACTTTTTAAATACAAAATACTGAGTACAATAGACAACGTGTGTACTGTCGTAGCGCCAGCAGGGGGCAGCACGTGACTGAGGGGTGGCTTTTACAACAGCCACGAGCCAGAAGAAAACAACAGACACGTGTGGACGCTGAGCTGGAAGAGAAGTTAAATGACTTGGTACATACCCATGCGAGCTGCTAAAATCCCGACCACACCGGTGCCTGCTCCCAGCTCTATGATGCGCTGTCCCCGTAACAGCACCGACTCGTCCTCCAGGTACCGACACAAGTGTAGCGCCTGTGTGTGTCGACATATGCACGAGTTACTACACAACTTGACCATCAAACGCTACGAAAACGATTCGGCGCTGCAGCCGCTCTTACAGCTTCCCAGACCGGAGCGGCCACGCCGAGGTTGGCGCCGAACACCTGCTTTATCCTCAGCTCTTCCCCCATCAGGTGGAACACAGAGTCCAGAGAAAACGTCTCGGTAAACAGGCCGTCATCGACGGGGAACGGGTCATCTTCTTCATCTCCGACACAAGTCATGGCCGGATCAACAAAACCGGATTTAAAACCTCTGCCTGTTTAAACGTTACAAACTTGTTGGCAAAAACAAAATTCAAAACTTGTTAGCCGGTGTAGTGGTAGGAAAAGTACGCCCATCTACTTCCGGTTCAACGAATAAAGTACACATAGCTACTTCCGGTTAAAAAAACGTGACCTGTTTACTTCCGGCACAAGGTCAAACATGGCTTACGCAGCTTTTTTTTTTTTTAACATTTAAAATGCAGACTAGATTTAGACTGATCATATTCTGATCCAATTAATTATTCCAAATAACTCCCGTGATATACAAAACAAGTTTCCATCTCAAGAAAATAGTGAAATGAGCGACTTTTATTTTGAAATGTAACCTACTTTTCCACATTCCTTTAAATAATCTTAGATTTTCTGTTTTAAAACTTTTAACACTACCATACCAGTATTATTCATATAAAAAAAATATGCATTTTGTTTAATCAGGTGAACTTCATTCCCTGAACTCTGAATGCACTGGACACCTAATATATTTTGTATTTTTGTCATGAAGCAGTTTAAAATTCACAAAGCACATTCATACTTAAGGTTTTATTTTAAAAGGTTTCCCGCCTTAACTGCTTTACTTGGAAAAACAAAACATATGTATAGTACCACTAAGACATACCATTATTTCTCCACACATACACAAAACTGCACATAAATGGCAATGATTATTTACCAGGTGTATAATGTTGGAAGTTACGTACAGATAACAAAACTCTTCATCTCAGCCTTTCAGTCTTTAAAAAAAAAAAAAGAATTTGCAGCACGTTCAAAGTAAATGCAAAACTCAAACGGAGGGGAAAAAAAAAAACTGTCGGACAAAATCACAGTTTTCAGTTCAGTGGAATGACTAGTAATAACTGATGATATCTACAAACGTTCGCCACTCAATAAACATCTGATCTGCCGAATACAAAAAACCTACGGATTATCCGACGCTATCAGAAAATAAATATATATTTTAATTACGGTATACAGATGGACAGTAGCATTACATCCTTAACACAAAAGCCCTTCTTTCAGGCCTCGTGTGCAAACTGCAAGTTTAAAAATGTAGCACTTTACATAAGGACCATGGAAAATAAAGAGTAGTGTATTAAAATAAGCACTTTACAAAAAGTACAGTGAGTTGAAACAGAATTTAAACTCATAACATGTATGATGGTCACAACTGTGCAATAACCCTCGTGTATACTGATAATAAAATTTGTTAATAATAAAACAGGTGGTGATTAAACCAAAGGAGTATTTTTGGTATTAAGCAGCTATTCTAACTTTACTTTGAACATTCTTAACATGAAACGTTTTTCTTTTTTTTCTCCCAAAATTAAATACTGATGTGAATTTATGGTTTAAATTATGAAAAACTGAATCCACGGCATGTTTTTTCATTTTGTTCACTCTTTTCTCCAACAAGAACTGAACGTCTCTAAAATGTTTGTCCACTCATCTTCATACGTCACAGTTTGTGCTTTTAAGTTTAAACAGAATGCTCAGGTTTAGCAGCTAATTTAGCACTAATGGTTGAACAACAAAGGGCTTCTTTTTCGAGACGGATATGCCAAAGCGGCCGGCGACTGGGGGACTTCTGTCATAGTCTTAGCTGTCACGATTTACACAAACAAAAAAACAGTTAAGCCAGAGACTGTCGGTTGTTTCTTTCATTAAAACTCAATCAAAAACATCCCCACACAGCTCAAAGTGCACCAGCAACACGAAGACGTCTTCTTGATGTTTCTCGGTCGGTGTGAAAGGCAGAAATGTTTGTTTAGAGCAGAATCGAGTCCAAAGTCCACGCATAAACACGACGAAAACACCCAAACAAGTCGAGCTGAAGGAATGGATTACTTAAACTTTGTTCCGAAAAGAATAATAATTAGAACAATAACTATAACAAAAAGGATCAAAATGACCAGCATCTTCCTGTTTTTCTTCTGATACTGTTCCGCCTGCAAAAAGAAAGAAAATGTCAGTGCTAGAAACTTTCTATTTTTTTCACAATAGTTTAGATATTTTGAATTTTTTTTAAAGACATTTAAAAGAAAATGCTGTAAACATTCTTTGATACTGACGTGTCTGTAAGTAGCTGTTCTCAAGTCAGTTTTGGTCAGAATTAAATGTTTTTTTTTCTCCCCCAATGTGAGTATGTGTTCATAACCTTTCCTCAGAACCCAACTTTAAAAGATTTGGACTGTTCCATTAACAAAACAAGGCAATTTATTATGAGAAGTCTAATTCATAAGTTATTTAAAACACTATAGTAATTATATAAACACGGTGTCCATCGTGCTGATTTTTGTCTCTCTGGAGACAGAAAGTCATGGTTTTTAACCTTTCACCCATTTCTGCTACACTTAAACACCAAGGAGGAGCTCCTTCTTTAGCTCGTCTCACTTCTTTTATTTAGAGCCTAAACAATTATAGAAATTAGAGCGAGTGGAAAAAAAAAAAAAGGTTTGACAATTTAGTTAACAGTATTTCTGCTGCTTGACTATTTAATTTCTCCTCTCGGTTCATGTTCGTTTAGTTCACAATTTACCAACTGTGGTCAGCTGATGTGGAGCTTCCTTCACAGCTGCTGAAAACTGGAACCCTCCTGCTGTTGCTGCTTTTCATCAATAGTTTTCCACGGATGGCTAACTTCAGTAGCGGTCCAAATAAATTAGTTTTCTTTCTGTTTGCAATAAAAACCATCTATTGAAGCTAAACTAAATACAGCTGCTTGTCCAGAGACGACAGAGACCTCCTTGAGTAGTTCTGTTAGTTAAAATGTAAATACATTTACATGCAAGCGTTTCACGTTTACCTTTTGTAACTGTTTCAACCCATCTTCTGTTTTAACACAAGCATGCTCCACATTGAAGTCAATTCTGTCAAGAACAGTTCCCTTAAAGAAGAAGAAGAATTATAAGCAGAAAAAAGAAACACTCCAGTTATCCATCATTTATAAACACTTCACAAACCTGAGTTTATTTGTCCCTAATGTAAGTATCTATTCTAATCTTTAAGGGTTTCAGACAAGTCATTCACAACCATATTACAATAATTTAAAATAATAATAAAAGGTGTAGTGCCGCTTTATTTTCTTGCAAGAACCCCTTTTTTTGTTGATATACTCTTGTTTGTTGTCATTTTGATTTATTCTGATTTCTGACTTTTGGTTTTTGATTAAAAGTTGTGTAAACACCAGCTAATGAAAACAAGAACTAGAACACAAATATATTTAAATTTGAAACACACAAAAAAACTCCAACAAAAACAGTCCAAATGGTTCTCGTGCACATTGTCAAAAAAAAAAAGCAAATCTGATAGTTACTGAAAGTGTCGGGATATTTACACGTGTTTCAGAACGTCATTGTTTTAAAATAAAGAATGGTTTCTTTGACGTCATGCTTTGTTTTGCACTGCTTTAATTAAACACAAGATTTTTATGTGAAATTAGAAAGTATGCACTAAGTTTTGTATCTTAGGGACAAAAAAAATGGTTAATTCAAGTATATGTTTTTCTTTAAAAAAGAAGCTTAGTCTTTTCTGATAAAAAAAAAAAAAACAGCACTTTTTTTAGACACAACTTGACTCTGCTTCCACACAGTAACTTCTACTTCTCCGCACTGTATGTTTTTATTTTGACGTGTCAGAATCTCTTAAATACCTGCTCCACAACCATTCCAGCCAAGTCTCGGAAAATCTCGTTCAGGTCCGAGATGGACTGCACGATTTGTCGGATCTCCCTCTCTCGTTCTTCAACCATCACCGTGTTCTGCTCCACCATCACCAACTGGTCGTCTGTGAAGCCCTGGGAGGTCGAGGATTTAAAAAAAAATGAATGATTAAAATCCTTTCACAAGGAATCTTCAGATCGGACCATGTTTTGGAGGTCGAATCTTACTGCGTTCAATACATGATGCTATGTAGGTACTCAGCCATGAAAAAATACAAAATGTGACAAAGTTCCCTTTAAATTAGTGCAAATAATGTTTTTCAGTTCCACCTTTTTAAACCAAGTCTGCATGATTTCATACACTAAATAATAAACAGATATCGTGTGCACTTCAAAATAATTTTAGCTTTTGAGCTCATTTTCTTTATTTTATCACATTTACTGTGCTTACTGAGACTATTTCTGTAAAGTCCCAAATGTTAAAATATCTCTGGGCACTTTATAGAAAAATTTAACTGAACACAATCTAATTTATTCGTTACACTACAAACCAATCCTGTCAGACCATTCAGTTATGACATTTAGAAAAAATGATCATTTGTAAAAATAAAAAAAAAACAAACGTGCAAAGTGAGGAACAAAAGAAAATTCCTTTACGCCGTTCAGATTTTGAATAAATGTTTAGGAAAATCGTTTAACTTGTACGTAATGTTTCCATTTGACGGTACAACGTTAAAAAATGTGTCACCTTGTCGTATAGTGCTAATTCTTCATCTTCTTCCATTAAAGGCCCAGAGTCAAAAAAGTGCTTTGATCTCTCCTCACGGTTCTTCATTCCTGCCATGTAAACATTTTACTTAAATATAAATAGAAACAACATTAAAAAACAAAAAAACAAATACAAACTAAAACAAAACTCGATGATGGTACAAATAGATGAGCCTGATTTAGAAGAAAGACTTCAGTGCATTCTAACGTTTTAGGTAGCTGGACTGTGTATGTCTGAAGTTGGTGGAGAGGTCCTGCAGGCTCTGTGCCAGAGATGACACCACGTTTACCAGCAGCCTCTCCTCCTGCTCGGTGCAGTGGCCACGACGAGACTGCAAACCCGTCACTGCTCGCTGGCATCGATGAAACATCTGTAAGAAACACAAAAGAGCGAGCTCGCCTAAAACGATCAATGCCAGATGGAAAAAGTCGTCCTGAATTGACTTCTCATTTCTTTAACCTATCGGGCAAACTTCTGCTCCTGCAGGGCTGAGCCCCTAACAAAACAGGACTATGACGGAAACAAAAGGCCATGCTTTTAACAAAGTACTGATGCCATAGTAAAAGAATACCAGTTAACAAGTTAATCAGTTGTTAAATAATTTGCTAATGCAACATTGTTTGCACCTGTGTGACCTCCTGCGTAGTGATTTCTATAGCGTGCTCCTCTTCACTGCTGTCATCCAGAGTTGGACGATTCATGTGTTTGTCGTGAAGCAAAGCCAGATCCTTCATCTTCTGTCGAATCCGTGTGATTTCATACTGGATCTGACAAAATTAGAAGTGAACAGGGAAAAAAAAGGACTAATTCAGTGAGTGCAGGACTGAAATCTTCAGGAGGGTTTCAATTTTTTACGTGATAAATCATTTTAGACAAAGTTTAGCTTTTCTCGTTCTGCAGTTATGATTTACATCAGAAAAATAACAATTGTTGTTTTAACTTTTCTTTCATTAACCACAAGAAGAAACAGGCGTACCAATAGTGTTACATGTAGCATAGTTTAAAGACTAGGTTTAGTCTGAAAGCATTTCTTAAATGGATATCCATGCATTTACTGCATGTGCTTAGAAATAGGGTTCTGAACACACACAAGTGTTCAGTTTTACCTCATCAACTCCCTCTATCCATTTGGGAGGCAGTTTCTTCGTGACACCAATGGCAGCTTCAGGATCCAGACTAATCCCGGACACCAGAGCCATTCGGTCATCTGCCATCTGAAACAATAAAACCTTATAATAAACTGGTTCATATTCACAGGACAGCAGCAGTATAACAGAGCTCTATGTTATGCCTCTCTCATAATTTTTGTACAAATTTGCCATAAAGGAAAGCAAACCGTTACCTCATCGAGCTCCTAATGTGATTGCCAGAAAGCAGTTTCCATCCAACAAAGATCAAGAACAAGGAGCGAAAGGAAGAAATAACAGATTGAGACCAAGACAATCAGCAGCACACACCAAAACAAAAATGTTTCTGTCTCCATTTCTAGCAGAAGTGAAAACAGTTACGGTAAGTGTGAAACATCTCACAGCTTTCTAACAATAAACACAAACGTATTCATGGTGTTCATACAGACACTGGAACAAATGTATTGATCAAAACAATCTAAACAGGATTAGATGATGATAAATGAAGAAAAAAAATGTATAACTGATCAATTAACACCTCATATACCTAATTTGGATAATTATGTCTTGTGTTTAAAAAAAATATGTTTTTGACAACTATTGCGATCTTGGTTTAGTCACTGGCTCTAAACTGTACTGGAAACTGTTTTTATAAATGCAGAAGCAAAATGATTAAAACAAGTGGATCTGCAGTAGCAGAGTGAAAACAGTTTTGATGCTGAGGAGTTTCTTTTGATAAATGGAGGTCTCTAACCCTCTGTGTTTCTGTAAGAGACAAAAGCCTTAATCGTTGCGTGAAAGGCTGCGTGTCGGCTACAGCTGCAAGAAAAATAAAAAGTTTGGCAGAACTTTATGTGTACCAGTAGATACTTTTCAGTACTTCTCACTAGAAGTTGAAGATTATATTTATTTTTGCATTTCTGTCTCTTAAACTTGCTTTGTTTTGGCCCAGACACAGACCGTAACTGATCAAATAAATGCAGGTTGTCAGTAAAAGAATGCCAGCTATTTGATGTTTAGACTTCCTGGTACAGTGATCGGATGCACGGCTTTGCTTTTTAGGCTCAGTCATGTCCATGTGATGAGGAAGCTCCTGAGTTAAAAAAAATTAAAGATGTTTTGTAGATGTTCTGAATCTGATCAAAACCATTCTTGGTTGCAGTGAGCCTCTTTATGGTGACTTAGTCTCTGAGTGTTGTATTTGCAACAGACAGCTCTTGAAAATGAGACCGTCTTAGCACCAACATAACTGGTTTGTTCCACTTTGGAGTACGAATCAGTTTTGTGTTGTGTGTTTCCTTGACTGACGAAGCCTTCTGGATGGAAGGTGAAACGTTTCAGCACACAAAAAAAAAAAGAAACTGTCCAGGTGAACTGACAATTGTTGGACTAACCTGTTTTAGTAAGAATTAATTTGTTTGCCTCTTGGTTATTTGTATCCCTTTTAAGAGCTGGTTTGACCAAAAGAAAACAGTCTCTTCAAATACAGATTGCTGAATCTACTGTGACTATAATACTATTAAAAAAACAACCTATAAAACAAAAGTAATAGGCGTCATAAGTTTCCACCTTCCAAGATTATTTTGGAACTACAGCCTGACAGTTTAGAACAAAACACAGCACACATCTTTACTCAAGAGGAGCAACGTGGACATAAAAACATGCATTTATATTCTCACTTTAGTCTTTTTTTTTTAAACTGGCTTTAGCGCTGAATAATCTTTAAAATGTAATTCAGTCGTTGTCTGTAGAAGTTTAACATGACGGACAGAACAACACGCCTGCTCCTCATCCTCCATCAGCCCGGAGGTGAAATTCGGGGCCACATCTGCAGCCGATCAGGTGGATAATCAGCAGCTATTACTACACTGGTCTAGCTACGAGGGCTCAGTGACTGGCTATGCAAACACACACAGTAAAATGTCAGAACGAAGCGACCACTCACCGCAGCATTGCTACGTGTACTCGGACGGGGCTCGTTTGTACTCACTTGCTCAGCCAAAATCTGCCGGTTTTGGATTGCATTGTTCCGCATTAACAAGAAGGCATCGGTCAGACGCCTAGTGGCCATGACTGGCTTGCTTGAGCTCTAACTTAACCCAAAACAAAATGCGGATCAGCTGATGTTTTTTAAAAAAAAATTTCAATTATGCGTCCACGGTTTATTAACGCACGGCTCGCGCTTAGCTTTTTTTTTTTTACCTGCGATGAATGAGGAAAAAAAAGTCGCGATGCAGCGCTAACTGTGGACATCAAGCGACTTGAATCATATTGATCTGTAAAGCTTCTTTTATCCCTTAAGTAAATAAGTATAGTCTATAACTAAGAATTTCCTGGTAAAATTTGTATTTTAAATCAATCTGGTGACGGTATTCCGCTATCAGGAAGCTACGGAAGTGAGAACGTAAACACCTGCGTAATACGTTTCTTCTTCTACGGTTAAATATCTGCACAGTCATAGAAGCGACTTATCGCCCCCTACCGCCTCGGTGATGATATGGTATAAAATTTATTAATTTTAAAAAAGTACAAAACAATTCCATAACAATATAAAAAAAGATACAAGAGATTTAAAATGAAAGGCAGCAGGAAGAAGAAAAAATCTTATTATATTTGCCCCTTTTTTCAGACAATTATTTCAATCATAATAATTTTCAAGTTACAGAACAAAATGAATTACTCTTTCTAATTTTCCAAATTCTAATACAAAACACACACTAAGCTACTTCATATATACTTTTTTAACAATTCAGCTTTGATCTTTTTCTTAAATGTACACAATGACTTGGCATTTTTCACATCACTCTCTAGACCATTCCACAATCCAACTCCTTGGATTGAGGTAGACCTTCCCTTCAGACTAGTTCTGAATAGTGGTTTGACAAATATCTCTATCCTCTTAAGATTATAACAACTTTGTCTTTTAACAAAATTTATTTGGATATTTAATGGTAATGTGTTATTTTGAGCCCTACACATAACTGATAAAATACTGTAATCTACCAAATCATGGAACTTCAATAACTTCAGATGATAAAATAATGTGCTTGATGGGTGACTGTAATGCTTTCTGGTGATAATTCTTACAGCTCTTTTCTGTAAAATAAAATAGGTTTTGTAAATGATGATCATAACAACGACAATAAAATAGTTTTTTATTATTATTACACGAAGTATTATATTTAGACGTTTTGCATCTTGTTTTAGTTGTATTTCCAGCACCTACTCAGCTATGAGAAAAGGTACTCGGACACTTTCTATAAGATAAATAGATATTTGCTTTAAAAAAAACAAGTGATCTATTGCACAAATCAGTTATAAAACAAAATACACAAATAAATAAATTACACACACACAAAAAAGCATGAAACATAACCCAATTTTGTCCACAGTTCTATATCATGATTCCATGATATTGATATTTCCTAACTTTATTTGTTGTATCTAAGTATGCACTAATTATATTTATACATGAGCTGATTACAATGTCAGAGGCACTACAACAAATTTTAAGAATTTAGTGTATATCACATTTTAAATAACTTAGTTTATGAATTAAGTCTATTTAGTTTTTCGCAAAGTGAATAAAACTTGCAGCCCTAAACTCTTTGAGTAAATGTGAAATAAATTACAATAGGTTTTAGTCTTGATTTTATTTAAAGATTGGCCTTCAAAAGTCTGTAAATTATAAGACTCTCATTATCCCCTTGACACATGATTCTAGGAGAACTATTGGAAACCATAAAATCTATAAATAAACAAGGGGGCAGGGCGCAAGAAAGCTATTCAGTATGGACTGTGGCAAAATATATTAGTTCTTTCCAGTCAGTTGTGTCTAAATTGTGGAACAAGAGAATTAATGAAATGAAAAAAAAAATGTAAAAAAGACAAACACACAGGTTGATAAAGGGCACTAATGTGAAAAGATAAACTAAAAATTATTGAAAGAAGAAAATTGACAACAAAAATTAAATGAAATCCAAATGAACAGAAACCAGTCAAAGTTTGTGACCTGGATTTTATTACTAGAACATTACTGAATCGCCTTATTCCACCTGCATAATATCGCTAAAATTAGAAACGTCTAAAAATTATGCAGAAAAACTGGTTCATCACGTCTAGACTGGACTATTGCAATGGTTTAATATCTTGCCAAAACTTCTTTAAAAAGTCTTCAGTTAATCCAAAATGCTGCTGCCAGAGTCTTAACTGGAGTTAGTAAGAGAGATCATATCTCTCCAGTCTTAGCTTCTCTCCACTGGCTCCTGTCAAATCCAGAATTGAAATCAAAATCTTACTTCTAACTTCTACAAAATTCTCAACAACCTAGCTCCATCTTATATTAGAGATCATATAGTCCCAGCCCCGCCATCTGCCTCAACCATTTCAGGGCTGAAAGAATAAGAATAAGGCAGACAAATATAGGACTGGTCCAGGTGTAGTTTCTCTGGAAAGTCAAACTAAAACACAAGTTAATAGCATCGCAGTTTCGAATCGAATCAGTGATTCAATCAGAAAAAAAAAGTTACGAGGCAACATGAGGGGGTACCAGATGTGCCTCTTTGAAACGATTTCCCCATAACCCTGCGGCTTGTTGATGTTTTTAGAGCTACGTGAATTCACATCCTGCACGTTATTCATTCACCCTGGTTGTATGTGCAGCAACTCCTCTTGTTGTTGTGCGCCTTTACGCACGGGCGGGGCGGTGCCACTAACAGTAATTATGTTGCTGAAAGCTCCTCCTCCCTTCAACCCTAATCCCTTTGGTTACAGCCGGTGTTAATACTGCGTCTGAAATGTATCCACGCGTAGCAGGCAGCAGCAGCCGCAGCCGCTAACACATCAGATGTCCCGGGCTGTCTCCATCTGCGTTTGTGGACACATTTGATCGAGGGGTCCAGCGTCAGTCCTTTTCCTGCCTGATCACCTGAGCAAAGAGACACGCGCGGTATGTCAACCTCTCAGTCTTCCACGTTTGGTATTATAATCCTCTCTGATGGATGATGGCTTTAATTGATGACGTGTTGCTGAATTACTCCTTTTGGGTCCTGGACTGATTTTTGCTCGTTGGTAGTTAAGCTGCAACTTGTTCATTTAATTACTCGTGGGCTGCCATTTGGCAACTTCTCAGCACCTCAGTTTCACTTTTAAGCCTCCAGTAATTTTTTTTTTATGTGCCCAAACATGTCAATAAAGCTAACAGAGTTAGTACAGTGCAGCCAGAAACCCAAAAATGTCAAAATTGTTCATGAATACAAGGGAAAGGGTGTATTCAGCCAACCACAGTTATGTGCAACTTTGGAATGAAGATGAACCAGTTTATGTGTGAAACGCTAAATCATAAGAGCCAAACTGTTGTTTCAGAAACTTTACTCAAAGCTTCACGTATCATCCTCGGCTTGTTTCTTTGTTTTTCCTGCAGCTGATCAGCATGGCCTCTTCTGAAGATACAGAAGGCTCCCTGACCTCTGTGGACTTTATCCAGCTGCAGCAATACATGGAAGGCGAGTCCTCTTTTTGAGTCTTTCATTCCAGGTGTCAAGTTGTGCAAATGTCCAAAACCAGAGATAAGGTGATCAGAATGATATGTGAACCAAACCAGTTTACACACGTAAATCTGTCGAACATCTGCAGTTCTGATCAGATTTCATGCATTGTCACATTACAATAAAGCAACCTGAGTCATTAAGTATGAACATCAGCATTTTACAATAAATAACACAAGAAGGTTGTTGTAATGAGTGAACCCTGAACCCAATGCTCAACAATAATATGTGGAGAATCCTCCTGCATTCTCACTAAAACATCAACTTTACAATGTTCTGATGGGACTGGAGTTAATGCAGAATTATGTGGACAAGCTGACAGGAAACAAAAAGTGGCCCATGGGCTAAAAATACTCTGTCCATTTAAAGGCTTTGAAAGAAATGAAATGGGTCTGTTGGCTTTTAGTGTTTGGGGGGAAGAGAGTATTTATATGTGGGATAATGGATGAGTAGATAATTACATGTTCATGTGCTCCGGTCTTGATGTGTGAAAGACACTGTTCTGTGTGTGTGTGTGTGCGTGTGTGTGTGTGTGTGTGTAAGCTCAGACCCAAACCCAGAGCTAAAGTTTAAAACACAGGACATCCATGCCCTCACTTTGAGATAATCCTTATGTTTTAGCACATTCTTAATGTGTTTTAATTTACAAATTGGTTCACTTAATTACATGATATTAGTCACATTTTAATTTATTTTTCATTCAAGTTAATTCTTTGACATTTCCAATAGTTTGGGGGATTTTTTTTTTTCTTCTGCAGAAAGCAATTTACGGGTCAAGGATGTTATGAAGGACTTCCATCCAGGAGGTCGTCTGGCCAAGCACACCCACGGAGAGGTAATTTTTACAAGCAATCTTTCAACTTAAAATTTTTGTCATTTCACAATTACATCCCATTTTGTTAAATAAATGCAAATCTGGAAGACTAATCAGCAAGTTTTTAAAGCCTCAGCTTCACCATGCTGCCATAAAAGAGTCATTATTACATGATTATAACTTATAACACTTTTGCATACACTGATCTAAATTTTAGTGTGATAGTAGCTGAGAGTCATCCCTAACACATACGCTGATCTCTTGCAAATCCCATGAGATCTATGTGTAAAACTTTGGCGTGCAAGGTATTTTTTAAACAACAATTTCACATTTTGTTAATGAATAATAAATAATTAATTAATGACTCCGTTAATATTGTTGAAATCTGTTGAAAGATTTGAGGAAATATTGGAAATTCTGTCTCATTTATTTGGAACAATAATGACAATCATAGACCAGTACCGCAGGGCCATAGAGATGGTGTGAGCAGGCTGGTGTAAAGCTATAAACAAGAGATCTACACCTATCTGCTCTTTCTGGACTTCATAAGTCTGGTCCTCTGGGCGGGTTCAAAAAACCAAAAACTGTAGAAACGTTTCATCTTTCATTCAAAAGTCTTCTTCAGTCTGAAGAGCTGTATTCAACTCAGTTTTATAAATAGCACCCTCTCATAGTGGATTAACCAGTTTGTTGACATTCAAAACCAGCTGTTCGCATGATCAAGGAGGACCATCAGCCTAACAATGAATCGTTAGCACACTGATGGCTGTTTGCTATTCACAGGGAGCTGAGTGAAACTAGCAATAACAGCTTTGTAAGAGGGGGACAGTTGAACACAGAGGCCTCCACCCCTGTTTAATGATGGATGGTTTCTTTTCACAAAGATGACCTCCTTTACTCCTCTATCAGACCACCATTCCTCTCTATCAAGGATGTGAACATCTTCATCCCTGAAAGAGTGACCTCTGGCCTGGAGATGAGTGTAGACCAGAGTTTTGGCCCGATGATGGTACTCTTCTGTGCTGGTCCATCCTTTTGGCCAGTGGCTGTTTGGTTTCCCCTAATGTGATGAGAGATGTGATGATGGGCTGAGTGATACTAGCAATAACAGCAATGTAAGAGGGGGACAGTTGGACTGAGGTCTCAGTGTCTGGTGGAGGACATTTGCAAACTGAGGTGTACCGCAAACCCACACAGACCAGTATTTGCAGTTTGACTCCCATCACCCTTTGGAGCACAAGTTAGGAGTCATCAGGACTCTGTACCACAGAGCAGACAGCAGGAGAAATTCCACACAAGACAGAGCAATGTGGATATTTTAACTGGGCCTTCCTGAAAGCAGAGAATAAACCCAAGCAGGACTCCAGCCAGCCATCAGGTGAAAAGGAGGAACCCAGACCAGTGGTCATTCCGTATGTTGCGGGAGGCCTCCGTGTTCAACTGTCCCCCTCTTACAATGCTGTTATTAGCATCACTCAGCCCCCTGTGAATAGCAAGCGGCCATCAGGGTACTAAGAATCCATTGTTAGGCTGATGGTCCTCCTTGATCATGTGAACAGCTAGTTTTGGTTGTCAGCAGCAAACTGGTTGATCCACTATGAGAATGTGCTATTTATAAGACTGAGCTGAATACAGCACCTCAGACTGAGGAAGTCTTTTGGATGAAAAATTAAACGTTTCTGCAAGTTGTTTTTTTTTTTTTACCTGTCCAGAGGACCTGACTTAACTTTTTTACAGATTAATTACAAACTCTTAACATATTTTTGTCATCCATATTGAGATTACCACTTTATTTTATTATTGCATTGATTTCCAATCTCTCTTTTTATTATTTTTGCTTTTAGGTAATTGTTCCTAAATTTCAGTCCCAGTAAAACAGAATGAGTGATCTTGTCTCTCACTGATCCTTTCTCTCCTCAGTGTCTCGACAGTGAGGGCTTCTGTCTCTTCCTGAAGACCTACCTCGAGGTGGAAGACTTCCCTGCAGATTTCTGCCAACGACTATTTGGCTATTTTCAACACACAGAGCAGGATGGGTCCACAGAAAGCCCCATGCCCAAAGGAGGTGATATATTTTAAATACCTGCAGTCATTTTACCTCACTCTGCAAAGTGAGTGTGTGGAAGAAAAGCAAGTTCTGTAGTCCTGCTTACGTAGGAGTGGGCGCCACGAGCCTTTGAGAAAGGAACCATGCAAAGACTTGTTTTTATCTTGTAAAGGTGCGCTACAGGAATGTAGCTTTGGAGACCTGGACCTGTTCTAAAAATAAAACTGTAGCTGGTGCCTGCCATAGAAATGCAAAGGAAGCATGCATTACATGGCTACACATTTCGCTGAAAGGACTTATGGTTATTAAACTCCCAAGTTGGTTTCTCAATACAATATACATATACCAATACAACTGAGAGTGACCTTCTTAGTTACCATGGTTGCATAATTCACCATACCATACCATGCCTTGCCATGCCTAACCATACCATTCCATGCCATGCCTAACCATGCCTTGCCATGCCTAACCATACCATTCCATGCCATGCTTTATACCATGCCATGCCATGCCATAACTTTATTTAAAAAGCTCTTTAAACAACATTAGGACCAAAGTGCTGTACAGTTACAGTCAATAAAACCGTCAGCAGTACATGTATGCAGTACAGTATGTACCATTACATAATAAAAACATTTATAAGCAAACCAAAAACAGCCTTATCCTCAAAACAAATAAAATCAATTAAATTAAATTTGTTAAAAATAAACAGAAATTAAATCAAATCAACATCTCAGTTGGTGTCAAAAGCCAAAGAGAAGAGATGGGTTTTAAGAAGTTATTGTCTGATGCTCAAAGGCAGGTCGTTCCACATTTTAGGAGCAGCGGCAGCGAAACACGATCCCCTCAAAGCTTTTGTTTTGTTTTTGGGACTCTCGGGAGCAGCTGGTCTGCTGACCTGAATGAACGGGATGGTGTGTAGTGGTGCATCCGCTCAGTGAGATAAGGACCATATAAAGCTGAACTTTGAAATGAATCCTAAAATGTACAGACTGCCAAAATATTTTCCCAAAATAAAAGCTTATAGGACTAAATGGGAAAGTCTTCAAATTCTATTAAAACTTTGAGCTCTATGAAATATTTCATGAATCACTGAATGGATTTTAATGAAACTCTCAGAAAGTAACTGTTAGAGGTGCCTCTAGCACTAAATATATTTTTGGTTCAACACAATTCAAGATGGCTGGATTTTTTTTAGTAACTTTGGACTAAACTTGTACATGGCAGTAGCTGAGAGTAATTCCCAAAACATACGTTTGAGTGCTAACAGATCACTAATTTTTTTGTTTCAAATTCAAGATGGCCACTACAGCTACCTTAGCAAATAATAAACATCCATTCCAATTCAGTTTATTTATATACTGTAGCACCAAGTCACAACAGAAGTCATCTCAGGGCACTGAACGGAGACATTCATAAAACAATAATTTAACATTATTTATCTGAGGAGCAGACTGCTTTGAATTTAACTCCATCACAGAACTCTCATCTTGAGCAAGCATGAAGGTGACAGTGGGAAGGAAAAACTCCCTCAACTCAGTCATTATTAAAGATATTCATTTAAACTTTGGTGTGGCAGTGCCGGTAGCTGACAGTAATCCTAAACACATAAATGCTAACAGGTTGTTGAGTTTGTTGTTTAAAATTCAAGATGCTCACTACAGCTACCTTAGCAAATTATAAACCTGCTATAACTCAGTCATTATTAAAGATATTAATTCAAACTTTGGCGTGTTAGTAGCTGGCAGTAATCCTAAACACATACTTTTAGTGCTAACGGGTGAATGAGTTTGTTGTTTGAAATTCAAGATGGCCACCATAGCTAAACGCATCACATGGAAAACCAGAATCCTCATCTTGAACTAAAATTTGTTCAAGTGATGTCTTTATTTTCAGACATGGTGTTTCTTCAGGACGTGTCCTGTTACTTCTCAGTGCTGGAGGAGGGACAGCCCCGGGAGAAGCTCGAATGTTGGTTTCCTTTTATCTTTTTCATCTCCGCACATCTCTGATGAATAATTCATCTCAAAAGGCTAGAAGTGACACTAACTGAGTTTGCTTGGTCCTAGTTACCTTCAAACTTTACGACAAAGATGGCAACGGACTCCTGGACAGCTCTGTGAGTTACTCTGAGTTTCAGGCAGGATAAATGAGACTTTTGTGCTTCAGTGGAAACAAAATGCTTCTAACTTAAAATACATCCAGTTTACAGCTTATGACATAATATTCCAATACAGAAATTAACCAATAAGGCAAAATTAAGCCTGCTCTTTAAATCTTGAATTACACTTTCAGATTATAGATTCAATTAATTTGTTTTGTTTTTACCACAAACATGATTCTTTTATGTCTAATCACATTTTTGTTTTGCATGTTCTGCTTGCAGCTTTTGGCTTTCTGGTCATCTAATCTTAAATCCTCTACGGGGTGCCGTTTTTAAAGTTACACAGTCAAAAATTAACAGCAGTATTATGGTTTATTTAGCCTTTATTAAGAAAAAAATAAGGTTTTGTTTTCAAAGTCATATTTTCACCATGTTATTCATACATTTGTAAATGTCATGGTTTCAAACTAAATATTTAATTTACAAGCTAAATATTTATTTTCAAAATTAAACATGTATTTCCAAGCTAAATATTTATTGTCCAAACTAAAGATTTAATTTCCAGACTAAATATTTAATTTCCAAACTAAACATATAATTTCTAAGCTAAACATTTAATTTCAAAAATAACTATTTAATTTGCTACCTAAATATTTAACTTTCACCTAAATATGTAACTTGCAAGCTAAATATTTAGCTTGCAGGTTAAATATTTAGTTAGCAAATTAAATGTTTAGCTTAGAAATTAAATATTTATTTATTATTTTTATTTTGTATTGCTTAAAGGTATTTTTAATCCTGCTGGGGTTTTTTATGTTATTTTTTTTAGCTTTTAAATTTTTTAGTCCTTTTTTTAGTCCATGTTTCATTCTATTCAGATATTTTTATTGTAGCACTTTGAGATTGTAAAATGTGAAGTGCAGTACAAATTGAATAAATTATTAGTATTATTTAGTTTGGAAATTAAATATTTTGCTTGGAAATTAAATATTTAATTTACACCTAAATATTTAATTTACTAATTAAATATTTCACTTGCAAGTCAAGTATTTAGTTTGTAAACTAAACATTTAGCTTGTAAATTAAATATTTAGTTTGGAACGATGACATTTATAAATGTATGAATAGCATGGCGATAATATGACTTAAAATAGCCTATTGTTTTTCTTATTAAAGGCTACATAAACCAAAATATTGCTGTTAATTTTTGACTGTGTAACTTTACAAACAGCACCTCATATCCTTCTGCAATCTAATGAACATTGTTATGATTAGATTAAATTCAAATTTACAAGAACCGTGTTGTTTCTCCTGCAGGAAGTGGATCGTATAATCACCCAGATGATGCGAGCTGCTGATTATCTGGGCTGGGACGTGACTGAACTCAGACCAGTATGAGCTTCATATTTCATTTTTATTTATTTTTAAGACTAATATATCATTACTGTTTAATATCTCGTAAACTACTGGACATATTTTAACGAAAGTTGACTTGTAGTCACTGAATGTACATCTATAACTGGTTAACATTTTTAGTCAACCTGACTCAAGGTGGCTGCCACAGGTGACCGATCTTAAAACCACAAAAATGACTATAACTCAATTAATTTTGCTGACACAGCTGAACTTTAGCGCAGTAGCAGCTGAGACAGATGCTCAACATAAATTTTGAGCACAAACAGATTGCACAAGATCTTAATATTGAACATCAACAATTTGGAGTCAACACTTTCTGTCTGTTAGCAAATTACCCCATGAAGCTCTGCAGAGATTTTTATGAAACTTTTAGAAATAAACTATAGATTGTACCTCTACATGTGATTAATGTTTGGAGTCAACCCAACTTAAATTGTCTTCCACAGACACAAGATCTAAGATGGAACAAAAATGGTTATAATTCAGTCAGATTTACAGATATTTAGCTGAAATTGGATGTGGTAGTAGCTGAAAGTCATCCCCAACATGTTCTCTAATCTTGGTTATGTGCCTTGTGATTTTCATGGTTTAATCAAACTTCATCATTTGTCAACATTTTTAATTTATTCATTCATTTAAAATAAACAAAATAAACAAAATTAATTCATCAAAAAGAAAAAAAAACATTGAATGAAAAGGGTGTAGAAAGAAGAAAACAATTCTTATAATAGAAGAAAAAAAATTGTTATAATATTATTAAATTAAAAACATTAATTTTTAATTAAAAAATTAAATTAAATTAAAAACATTCAAATTAAATTAAAACATTAAATGATCTTAATCTAAAACTGCAGCGTGAAAGGTGGCAGGCACTTTATCCTGGCTTTCAAGGAATGCCATCCTATTAATTGCTCGTACAATAGTCCCTCGCTACTTCACTGTTCGTTTATCACAGACTTGCTCTATCGTGGTTTTTCAAAATAAGATTGGACATGACGCACAACTGGCTGACTGATGGATGAGCCGCACGATCGGCGTGGAATTTTTATTTAAAATGAATTATTTTAAATTATTTAACACCTGCTGCACCTTTGTGCAGCCCATACTGCAGGATAAACTTCCTGCTGCAGCTGATCAGCTGTTCTCCGTGCAGAGCGGAGAAGTGGGCGTGGCCAAGAATGCTTGCAGGAGAGCAGCAGAGAGGGAAATGACACTCTGCTCTTTTACAGCAGTTAGAGTTTAGAAACGTTTAGAATATTGCAATAGTATGGGAAGGGTATATATATATATATATATATATATATATATATATATATATATATATATATATATATATATAAACTACTACTGACTACTTGTACTACTATGCCTACTTTGCAGTTTTTCACTTATTGCGGGGCTTCAGGGTACGGATCCCCGGCGATAAACGAGGGACTACTGTGTATTATGTCATTTTAAACGTGAGTTTTGGGGGTTTGACAGGTCCTCAAAGACATGATGACTGCCATCGATGTTGATGATAGTGGCACTGTCACTCTGGAGGAGTGGTTGAAGGGAGGCATGAACAATATCCCTTTACTTGTGCTGCTTGGACTGAAGGTATACCTACGCCCCCAAAACATCCACCGCAGAACATTTCACAAGTTTTGTTGTCGGCTACAAATTTTGGTTCCGTTTCTTTTCTTCCCTCCACCAGATGACGGAGAAGGATGGGCAGCACATCTGGAGGCTGAAGCATTTTAACAGGCCAACCTACTGCAATGTGTGTAGGAGCATGCTGCTCGGCCTGGGGAAGCAGGGACTCTGCTGCAACTGTAAGAGCTCAGCGCTGTCAGCAGGGGGCACTCCTGTCCCTCTGGGGCCACTTCCTGTCTTCTGACACTGTCAAAGCCTTTCTTATTATTTACTTCATTGTATCTTTTCCTCTTGCCTATTTTCTCTTCTCCCAGGTTGCAAGTACACCGTCCACAACCAGTGTGCCAACAACAATCCCGACACTTGCGCTCGCACCTTTGTCAAATCCAAACAGGAAACCGGTGTAAGGAACCCAACAATCACGTTTCATTTTCAGTTCCCTCAGCTGGTTTGGTTTTATTTCTGCTTTTCAGATTTACGGCGGCACTTACGAGCAAGTATAAGTTCTATGTTAAATGATGTCACAGATGTGTATAAGAAGACCCATTTATGTCACTTCTCCTGTTCTTTTTTTAACCCGCCAATGGCTAAACGACAATAAATACTTGAACGTCAGGGAACATTACAGTGCATTAGTGAGTAAGTGCATCCCATCAGTGTTTTTTAAGTGCAGATTACAGCTGGCACAGTCTGCTCCATGCATCTGGTAAATGTCCTAATTCTGCACAAGCACAGACAATGGTCTGCTCAATCTCCTTTTTCAGAATTTGACATCGGGGCCACAACTCACAGTTTTACATTTTGTAATGGAGCACAACAGACAGCTGGCCATGTGTTCTTCGCTGGAAGTGGATGTTTGAGCTCCATTATGCTTTGTGGATATTTTATCTGGAGATGCCCATCTGTCAAGCTGATGTTTACTGAAAAGACCATAAATCCGAGGCTGTCTGTGACCTCTGCAGCTGCTTTGGAGAAAAGTGGGATCTGTTCTGATTTTTTTTTTTTTAATAGTCCCAGACTAATCCAGAGGTGGTTGTTTTGGTTTGCCATAGTAAAGAACACTGCCCTAAAAAAATAGTCTTATTTTCACTATAAAGAAAAGTAAAATTGTCCAACATCAAAGGGATATGAGTAGAGTTGTCAGTACTGCATAGTAAAAGAAAAAAGCAACAGAATTGGTAGTAATGGTAGCATAACGCTTCTTTTTTTATGCGTTCCAGAAAGCCACTCATGACTGGATCAAGGCTGACTGTAACGCCAGCAAGTGTCAGGTCTGCTTCAAGAAGATCAAAACTTTAGGAGGGAGTCGTTGTGTGTGGTGCCAGGAAATGGTGAGGGTGGCCTTTTGGATAGTTACCCGTATTTTCTGGCGTATAGGTCGCTCCGGAGTATAAGTCGCATCAGTCAAAAAAAGCATCACGAAGAGGAAAAAAATACATAAGTCACTTCAGCGTATAAGTCGCATTTATTATGAGTCATCGCTGACCCGTCACATTTATTATGCATTTATTTAATGGTTATAACAACTCCATTTCACCTGGGTGGCGCGGTGCCATCCATCCATCACGGCCACCAGCTCGCCAGCGTTTCTTCGCCTGCACCAGCTGAGTGAGCACGGGAGGACTCGCTGTCGCAGTTCTTCGAAATTTAACAAGATTAACACTTATTTGCTTGCTTGACATTATAGCAAAGGTGTGTCTCAGTTTAACTTTTGCTTAATAAAGGCACTTTTATGGTCAAAACAGCTTCATTTTGCCTGCGCGGTGCCATCCATCCGTCTCGGCCATCGGCTCTCCAGCGTTCCTCCGCCTGCAACAGCTGAGTGAAGCGAGCGCGCATGGGAGGACTTGCTGTTGCAGTTTTTTTATTTTTATTTAAAGCGTCAGTCAAAAATTGCATTATGAATATGAAAAAAAAAGTATATAAGTCGCAGGACTGACAAATCTATGCAAAAAAACTGCAACTTATATGCCGGAAAATACGGTATGCACATAGCTAAACAGTGGACAACTTATTTGTGATCACTTGTTTCTTTTTAAGCGTCATGAAGAGTGCATCATTCGTGGTATACCAAAATGTGACTGTGGGCCACTGAGGGACCATATTTTGCCTCCATGGGCCATCTATACTGCTTCAAAGGTAACCGGAAAACAGTTTAAGAATGTCGTTAAATTTTAAGAACAGCGTTAGAGAACTGTCTGTTTGTTGGTTACCTTTGTGCAGAAGGAGGAGGACACCAAACTGCTGAATGTCACTCCGGATGGTCAAATCCTGCAGGTCTGTCCTCGCTGTATCAAACATTCCTACAATCACTTTAAAACCACATATTCACATGTCTGTGGCGTTGCTTTTGGGAGAGTTTTAGATTTTAATGAGAGACCCCCAGTGAGTGAACCAGAATGACCATAAACAGTTAATTTATGAAATTTTGTATCTGTTTAATGTGTTGTATGAAATAATGAATAGGTGTTTTTTTGGCACCGATATGTACTTACACTTTTACTCTTCTGCGGTGTTTATTATTGTTCTTTAGTTAGTAATTAGGCACTCCATGGAAAAAATTGGTAGTTTTATTCAATTATATGTAAAAAATATTTTTCTTTCCTTTTTTAACGAAACAAGTCCATAATTTTGATCTTTATATTTCAGCTATCGTGTATTAATTACCTGCATTTTCTAAATTAACATTACCTCATACCTAATGCTAACACATCTGTGTGTCTTTTGAAAAATTTTTTTGGTTGAAGCATATTAATCTGTTGTGTTTTACTAGATCGCTCCTGTCCCTGACACTCATCCTTTGCTGGTGTTTGTAAATCCTAAAAGTGGAGGGAATCAGGGTGAACGGTAAAAAAAAAAACAGTTTTACACCATAAACATGAAAAACTGATGAAGTTGCGTTAGCTATGTACACTGGGATATTTCAGAGATCTTTAGAAGAGGGATCCTGTGGTTAAGGTTTTGAACAATAATTATTTCTAGACAACTTCAGTTTAGATAAATAATTTATTCATGAGCTAATGAGTGGTGCCAAAACCAAAGTGGATTATTGCCATATTAAAAAACACTCAAGACTTTAATAGCCGTTCATGTAAACACTATTTTATAAATCTTTACATCATTGTGAGTTTTGCATTATATGGTTATTCTAGCAGAAAAAAAACATGATTATCCAGCAGAAAGTGTCCCAAGCTGCACAGAAAGTGCTACAGCTAGCTGCTGCTGCACCTATCTGCAATCAACTACAGAATTTAACGCAGTACGTAATCCTGTAATTTAGAATCGACAGTACGGGTTGATAAAACAGTGTTAACATAAACTGCTATGACGTTTTGTAGATTTTAGTTTTTTTTTTTGTTGTTGTTGGCAGTGATCCACTTTGCTTTTTGCCTGAGCTGACACTAGCTGTTAGCTCCTCGGGCCTGTCAAATTTAAACTTTCTTTCCACAAACGGAGGTCGTTCAAGGACAACAAATATAATATTAATTGTTCACAACAGAACTCGACTTTAAAGTATCCAATCTTTCATTTTAACTCTAGATACTGTGGCAAACATTTTTATATCTCAATTTATCTCCCAGTTGCCGCTTTTTTTTGTGCAGGGTGCTCAGGAAGTTTCAGGGTCTGCTGAATCCACGTCAGGTGTACAATTTGTCCAACGGAGGTCCTGCTCCAGGGTAAAGTACAAAAGAAACTTGCAGTTAAATGCTCACACCATTTAAGTGGTTTTTTTTTATCATTATTGATACCAACTCTGTTTTTATAGACTCCACTTCTTCAGAAATCTGCATCAGTACAGGATTTTGGTGTGTGGGGGAGACGGCACCGTTGGGTGGCTCCTGGATGCTATAGGTACGGAGCATCACTCTGAGTTTCAGAGGGGAGACTGAAATTACCATCATTAAAGTTAAATAAAATTAAATTCTTATGATCTCAGACAAAGCGGATCTCCAGGTTCGCCCTCCAGTTGCTGTTCTGCCCCTGGGCACTGGGAATGACATGGCTCGCTGTCTACGCTGGGGAGGAGGTGCAACAGTCAAACATTCCCTCTAACAACGTGTGCATACCTCGTTCAGTGAGCTTGTTACGGTACATTGTTGTTTTTTGTTGTAACCTCCTAAAAGGATACGAGGGGTCAGACCTGACAGAAATCATGAAGGAGATTGAAGTTAGTGAGTTGATCCCTTTGGATCGTTGGAGCATCCAGGTGATCCCAAACGACCCTCAGGAGGCAGGAGATCCTGTTCCTTATGAAATCATCAACAACTACTTCTCTATTGGAGTGGTGAGTCATCGATTCTGTGCGGAGGACACCACACATCATTATTTATTGTCTCCTTTAAACGCAAACAACTGCTGATGTCCACAGAGACGTGAATGATTTATTGTGAACGTTTGTGTGAACGTTGTGCAGGATGCGTCTATTGCTCATCGTTTTCACTCCATGAGAGAGAAACATCCCCAGAGGTTCAACAGCAGGTGAGGATTCACACAAAACGAGACACATTCGCCTTAATTATCATCATTTTCACCTTTATTTTGCATCAGAATGAGTCACAATTAAAACAGTTCTTAGCTGCATTTGACCTTTCATCATGAACGGTCAGTTGCTTTAAGCCTAACCTCTTCCTTGTTTTGTTGTATTCAAGGATGAAGAACAAATTTAGGTATTTGGAGTTTGCTACTTCTGAGTCCATCTCTGCCTCCTGCAAGAAGTTAAAAGAGTGTCTTGTTATTGAGGTTAGAGTTTCTCCTGCAGTCATCCAGCTGTTTTACCAAATAGACCAACTTGGGATTAATGTTCAGATGTTTTTTTTTTTTTAAAAATATGTCAGTGTTGTGGAAAACAGCTCAACTTGAACAACGTGTCTTTAGAGGGCATAGCTGTCCTCAACATTCCCAGCATGCATGGAGGCTCCAACCTCTGGGGCGAATCCAAGAAGTCCGATGGTCCGTCAGAGGCGGGGCCTAACCAGGTTATCACTGACCCCGAAGTTCTGAAAACAGTCCCACAAGGTGAGTCTCGAGTTTTTCTTTACTCTTATATATGGAGACAAAATAATAATAATATGCCTGGTTGTTTTTAAGATTGACCCAATCTTTAATAATCTCTTTAAGCTTGCCATCCCTGTGTGTATCTTTACTCCTCAGACATAAGCGATAAGCGTTTTGAGGTGGTGGGGCTGGAAGGAGTTTTAGAGATGGGCCAGATCTACACTAGAATGAAGAACGCCGGGCACAGACTGGCACAGACGTCTCAGATTTCCATCAGGTGCTGAGGTTTTGTTTCCAGCTGTAACAGAAAATGATCAAATGTGTGATCATTTTGATAAAAGACCCACAAATTTAACGAGAAATGATCAGACAATAATCAAAACAAATTATCTAAGGTTATTCTTACAAAGAATGCATTTGTTTGTTGACATAGTCCAAGTAATGGTTTTCATATTGATCTGAATTTATTTTTCTTGTTATCACACTTTGATTAATATGCGCAGTTCTTTTTGTGATAAGTGTTCTTGTCATTCGTATTCAGCACATTACGGTAATATTTTGCCGCGTCAGTGATAGAGTTATAAAACGCCCCGTTCTTGATTCATGCAGGACGACCAGAGCTTTGCCCATGCAGATTGATGGGGAGCCCTGGATGCAGCCTCCTTGTACTGTGAGTGTTATTAGTGTAGGAAAAGTTAAGAGTTATATAGATGTTTTGTATCTGGTTTATAGGATTCAATAAAGAGCAGCACAGTGCTGAACGTTTTCAGCTCGTGTGTTTTAACTGATCCAAGTCACAATGTTCAAATTTACTCAGTGGCAAATTTGAGCATGTTTAAGAACATTTACAAGTTTGTTCAGAGCTTCTGGTGTACATTTACTGAACTTGTGTTTGTCCATATTAATTTTGCACAGAGCTTTGACTTTATACACTTATCCACCGCAAGCATTTTGAAATATTTGCTCAAGGACATTTGTAATTCTTAATTTTATAAAATGGTTTTTGAACTAGCTGTGGACTCAACACAGCTGTAAGTACAAGTGAACAAGACGGTGACAAATAATTTGTTGACACATTCTTGATTTTTAACTAATTTCAGTTTTTTCTAAATGTAACTCTTATTATTTCTACTGAGAAATGCATGTCCTGCAGCATAAACCTGTTAAGAGTGATCAACAGTCATGTCAAAATTCAAACAAAACATCAAATTACAACAAACTGGATGTTATAATGGTTACAATGAAAAATTGTAAAATAATAGTTTAGATCTTTTGAAGGAGAAGGATGGGAGCATTATTTGGAAGAGTTATGAACAATTAATATCTTACCTGTTGGAGATAGCTCTTTGAAAAAACTTGTTTTCGAAATAAAACATTTAATTCTGACCATATTGACAAACTAAACAGCTAGTTCAGTAGAGCCAAGACCATTCATTCAATCTTTATTTATACAGATAAATCACATTGAGCCTTGAAGACTCATTTACAAGTGAGACCTGTTTAGACAGACAAAAAGTAATGAAAGTGACACGTGTATAGGATTTGGAGGCAAAAAATATTTCCTAACAGACTCTCACTCCTTGGCTGAGGAGAGAGAGCCTGAAATAAATAAAAAAAACACCCTGCACATAAGCACATAGTGACGCAGGCATTCTGCAGGGGAGGAGAGATGACAAGAGCAGTGAGCGTGTCCAAGGACACCTCAGAGGCACTGTAAGAGTTCTGATAAGAATTGAATAATCAGTCAGTTACCTCTGGTGAGATCCGTAAACACTCTCGAGGGATGCCGAGGTCAACCTAAAGGATTTCTGTTGTCTTAAAATTACTCGTATTAAAAAACAAAACAAAAAATATATTATGACTGTTCACGTGAATGCTCCCGGTATTTTAAAAACATTTACATCACTATCAGTTTTGAATAACATGGTATTCCAACAGAGATATTATAGTGTTCCTGCCAGAAGTGCACCAAGCTGTGCTGGAAGTGCTACAGCTAGTTGATGCAGGTGTTTTACCTGCAAAAAAATAAAAAATAAAATTCCAAGTAGGTGATTGTGTAAAGCAAAACTGACGGTGAAGTAAAAATTGATGGCATTAACATGAACCTTTATAAAATATTTAAGAAAGAAGATGGTCTAAGACAGCAACAATCCACTTTGGATCTTTGCTCCGCCTTGACCAATGATTTGCTCATAACTCTGGTCAAAAGTGAACTGTTTCTCCAACCTGAGGTCATGCAAGGAGCTATCTACAACAGGTAGGATATTAGTTGTTCATAACACTCACAGAACCTCACTTCTAATGACATGAACTATTGTTTTAACAGAAAAACTAGTCACGATTGTGTTTTCTTGTTAGCACATCTTATAACATTTATTTTGAAGTGGACACCTGAAAAATATATACGTTCCAAAAACAATTGGAACATTTCCCCGAACAAAAAGTGAAATGGCATTTACCCGAGTTAGGTCTTGTTAGAAACAGATTATAAATGCAGTTTTCTCTCTGATTTTGTTTTCAATTAATTTTAGATCCACATAACTCACAAGAACCAGGCTAACATGCTGATGGCTCCACCAACCAAAACATCGAGCTTCTTTCACCACAAGTAAAGAGTCCAGCACATCCTCGAGTCTGCAGAAGCGTTGCCACAGAGTATTTCAGTCCAATGTTGAATTTGTTGTTGTGTTTAATTGCATGTTTGTGTGTGTGTGTCCTTTGCATTTATCTTCTGCTTCATTGTTTAAAAAACTGTTCCAACACGTGGATGAAAAAAAATCTAAATCTTCAAACGTCTTCATTTTGATCGCTAGTAGTGTGTGCCAACTAAATGTGATCCAACATGTCTGTATGACAATAGACTTTACTTATATAGCACCTTTCTATCTTATCAAGATACTCAAAGGCTTTACAACAATCTGTGCCCTCATTTACCCATTCATGCAGCACTACTATTTCTGTACGAAGAATAACCAGTGCTTTATCACATTCATACACTAATGGGGTACACATGAGGGGTTCAGTGTCTTGCCCAGGGACACTTCAGCATGTGACTGCTGGTGGAATCGAACCCCCAACTCTTGCATCGGAGGATGACTGATCTAACCACTCAGCCACAGCCGCCCTGTATTAAAAAGCAAAACATGTGTCTACACATTAATTAGGATTTTATAAATTTGTGGTCTTCGTTGACATCACAGTTGTTTGTGGGTGAATCATGTTTAAAGTGTTTAACATAGTGTTTTGTTGATTTTTTTTCTTTGTCGATTAATGACATAAACCGTTCATCTTTTACGAGCAGCTTGTCCATGTTTGCGAGTGCATTTGAAAAAAAAAAGTTATTTGTATGAGGACTTTTTGAGCATCTCATATTTAGCTTATTTTTATGTTTTGAGGTTGCTTTTACAATTTTACCAACATTATAGTCAACATTGTTCTGCTATTTTTAGTGTGTTAAGAGGCTCTGAACTCAAGGTGTTAGGGAAATTTTGGTCAAAGGTTATGGATGATTTTAACTACTATGACTGAGAATGTTAACTCTGCCCATGAATCATATGTTTGGGTTAGGAGTAAGCTGAATGAGGAGCTGGACCATGTCTGTGAGCTTGACTGAACTGATAAATGTATAAAAACAAGCTTCACACATTGCCCGGGGCAGATTCTTGTGACTGGGCTTCATGTATATACTTCCTGTATATTTATGTAACCTGTCCTGAAAATCTGTCCTTGCAAGTAAAGAAATGGTTAGAAAATATTCTCCTTTCGTTGTGTGGCTCCTTTTGAGTAAGTGAGATAAAGCGAGAATATTTTTTCTCCAACATAAGGATAAAATTCTTCTTTATTGTAACATTATACACTTTTGTCGTACTGTCATTACAATGCTCTCCCTTTAATTAAATATTATTTCTGATGATGAAATCATGCCAAAATGTAGTTGTAAGCCCCCAAATTTTAAATGTTTTGTATATTTTTTTCAGTGAAGCCAATCTTGTGGTAGATTTTAGGGTACTTGTGTACATTTTAGTATTGGTGTGCTGTTTTGTCCTGAAGTCAAATTGTGTATTTGTCATTTGGATGTATCTTGACCATGTTGTATTCTCAAAAAAAAAAAAAAGTCATACAACGTCACATTGAAATGATGCATTATATTCTTATGTCAACCCAAAGTGGACTACATAGTTAAAGAAAAAGTAAAGAAAATTAATCTTTCATTGCCACTAAATTTTATTTTTGACTCTATAATTTGTCTTTGAGTCTTTTATTTAATATCATTGCTGAATGTTCAAGGTTCTTTATTGTCATTCGCATCAATGTGGTACATGAGGTGGAACAAAATTGTGTACTTGGTCCCAGTTACACCCAAAAATAGCAAAAATATGAAGTATAAAAATAAACAGTATACAAGAATCTAAGATTTACGCTAAACACTAATAATGTAAAATAATACCTTATATTAAGCAGCAGCCAGAACATGAGTCTGTTGTGAGCAGATGGGTATGAATACAGCAGCATAAAAGCGAGAGATCAGCAGCATGAATAATCAGCAGCACAGACAAGTCCCATATCACCAGTTAAAGTGGCATTACAGTGAATTTTTTTTTTCCCTTACAGTGATTTTCTTGGTTAGGGATTTATGAGTCTAACAGCTTCAGGGTAGAAGCTGTTCCTCAGTCTAGTATCTACACTTAATGTTCCGCAACCTTTGACTGTTCTGACTGATGATTCTGAATGTGATTAAACTGTATGGAGGAAGACTGAATACTGAAAGCAGGCAACATTTCTTTGAATGTTTTAACCAGAATAATGGACAGACATGTTTTTTTTTATTGAGTAGACAAAATCACTCCAAGGGCCAATCATTTCTTAAAGGAATGTATATCTCCCACCACCTTTATGCCAGAGTGAGACTGAGATCATCTTGATGAGAAGACACGTTTTGGTCAAACCTTACAAATAATTTGTGCCATCCACTGCATTATTTTGAGGTCTCTGTGTTTGCTCTTGGAGCATATGTTGAAATGACGCTCAGCTACTCCCTTTTCAAAATTTAGCTCAATATCTGTAAAATGCACTGATCTAGAGCCATTTTTAAATGGCTTTATCACATTGTAAAGATTGCAGACGATACAGCAGTGGTGGGATGCATCACAAACAATGAGTCCAGCTATAGGAAGGAGATGGAAAACCTGGAGAGCTGGTGCAGGAAGAACAACCTTCACATCGATGTGAAGAAGACGACGGAGATGGTCGTGGACTTCAGAAGGAAATGTCCCTAACCCTAACAAAAACGAATTGTAAAAAAAAAAAACTTCAAAGTATACTATTTGAATTATATTTTGTAGGTCTTGGCTACATCAGTGCACTGACTGGAGTATTTCTTTAGCAGTAAGCATGTTGTAGGCTTTACTTTGTGTGTTGCCCACTTAATGAATTTCTATAAAAGAGTCAGTGAAATCTTATTCCAAACGTGAGCTGTGATTTTTGGCCTGACCCGACCTGAAATTCGAGCCGGGTCAGGCCAAAATTATGTGCTTGATGGGCCGGCCGGGTCGGCCTTGGGCTTTTGATGCGGTTTTAATTGCGCATTTGGCCCTGCCTGCCCTTTGCTCTTATCACACATCTAAGGATTTGCAATTGACCCACAACAAGCTACATAATGGAGCTGGAAAGTATTAAACAAAAGCTAAAAACGGGAGAACTCACTCTGCAAAGCCAACAGAGTGAAACCTGCTGATGTGTGTCAGGTCAGGTGCACACTCAGGTCCAACCAATGGTTGAAAGAGGTAAAAAAAAAAGTTGCGTTAAGCTTCAGATGGACAACCGTATCATCGACCGCGTGCGTCCACTGACCAGCCGGTTGAAAGAGGTAAAACAAGTCGCGTTACGCTTTAAATAGACAACCGGATCTTTGGCCGTGCACGTCCCGCTCCACACCCTGCTGTCATCTGGGGTGAAGGAAGTTGCAGCATCTGAAGCTACAAAAGCCGAAGCGAGCAGCGCGTTCAGTTAAAATAACCTTGTTCTATATTTTTCCAAATAAATTTTATCTAAAAGTATTTTTGCTCTTCTGTATAATAGCTTATCTTTACAGTTGATTTTTTAAGGCTATTTGTTTTGTATGCTAATATCCACTTGGTGACTTGTTAATAAACAAAAAATCTTATCTCTTCCTTTTGTTACATTTTTAAAACTATCATGTCAACCTGATTTGCTTACAAACGCTGAATTTTAAAAAAAGTTGTTTTTTTGGGGGGGTTCAGGACTCTAATTACAGTTAATTAGTTGGGTCGAGTCGGGCTCGGACAAAATACCTACTACATGCTAGGGTCAAGCCAGGTCGGATTTTTTAGGCCCGAATGCAACTGAGCAAGAAGGCTAATCCAAAAATAACGAGGAAATAAAGAGATGACAGCAAAGGGTCGCTTAGAAGAAAACATCAAACAGAAACAAATGCCATAAAAAAAAAACTGCAGGCGATGGAAGAAACATGAGAGGGAACTGGAGTGTTTTGGTGCAGTTGTAAATGCCCCATTACAAACTTTAAAATGGCTCAAACTGACAGCACTTTTCAGATTTTTAATTGTAAAAACTTGTTTTTATCACCATGTGTTATTTTCTTTCGGCATCACAGTTACGCACTACTCTGTGTTGCTCTGACAGGAAATCCCAGTGGAAAAAGTTGATGGTTGAAACGTGACACAATGTGGAAAGTTCAAGAGGTAGAAAGAATACTTTTTCAAGGCACTGTAAGAAAAGTATATTGTTAAATATTTATCATGCAGGTCTATGTTTTATGGTAAACTAATGGCATTTTGAAACATTCATGTAGTAAAGTAAATTTGGCTATAGTTACATGATCCCTTTTACTAAACCATGTGATACTCCTAATTAGCAGCTGCAATGTTGTGAACGTGTATGTGTGTGTTCTAATGTGACGGAAAGTGAAAAGGATAAAACGATCATGTGTCCAGTTTGTTACTTATGTTCATACTTAAAAGAGCATCAGGCTCGAACCCTTTAGCTCTCATGTAACTTCAGGCTGCCTGAGCAGGTGTCTGAGGACACCGCTTTCTTTCTTCACGCAAGCTGACCGGAACACAAATATTCCCTGAGAGACACAAAGACATGTTGGTTTGTCTGGTTGTTGTGGAGATGTTATGTCATAAGGGGTATTAGAGAAGGCCTCAACTAATGATGACAAATGGACATCGGCAGCTGTGGCGGTGGCATCCATAGTGCGAATTCTGCGATGATGACATGTCAGCGCTGAGTGCATCTCCTGACTCCATGTGGTTAGCTGTCATATTTTGAATCAGAGTAGGGATTTTTACTTTTATTACATTTCACTTAAAACATTAAGGCTCACTTTAAGACTCCCCTTTTCCTCCAAGTTAGAATCCTGACTCTGAAAATCAAATATTCGTCACTAGTACTGACAAAAATCCAACATGGCTACATGAAACATGCAGTAATTACCTTTTTATTTAACTTTTACCTTTTGGTATTTCATTAAATCTGTTTATCACATAATAGTCCTTTACATCCTCCGTTAGGAAATATGTTGCTACAGTATTTGAATATAGAACATGGAGAAATGCATCATTATCACATTGACGGAGCACAACAGTGAGCAACTCCCATTAGTTATCCAACTAACAAATGAAGCATGATGGGTATGGCAACACTTCAACTTCTGAGGTAAACGAAAGGTAGCATAATAATTACCAGCTGTAGAGTAAGGGTTAGTTAAACCACAGATTGAGTATCTAGACCTCAGACAAGATAACCTGGAAGTTGAAACTGGAATGCAGCCACCCTTCCTTGTAGGCTAGTCCTGCCCTCAACACGTAAACAGTAAAACAATTAAAGCACACCTTGGAATATTTTTTAAGGTGTTGACTTTTGTTGTTCTTGTTTTTCTGCGTCTTGAAATATTATTTTTTCTACAACAGTACATAATTAGTTAATTCTTGATTAAAATAAAGGTCAGTGGCACCATGATTGTGTGTAGAAGAGGATAGGCAGAACTTAAAGTGTACCTAGTGCTCCTGGTTCTCCCTCATGTTTTGACTTAAAACATGACAGAAGCATGTGTTTATTCATTCTAATGTTACTTTTCATAGATTAAAAAATATATATTTGGCACCCCCACTGCCCATCTTTGAGTCAGTTCAGTCAAGTTGTTGCCTTTTTACTCTGATATCTGTGGCGATGACAATACAATATATGCAAGTATATGAAGCTTTAAAAGTGTATAGTGTTTTTTTACTGGCTATGAATCAAACAGGATAGAGTAAGAACATGGAAATTATGCTATTTAGGAGCGCAAGATACACAAATGTTTTTAAAAGTGGTGAAATACTGTAAATCCATTCATGCTGATCTTGTTGATATCATAAGTTGATTTTTTGGGGACGTTGGAATAAACATGGCCTAAAAGTACAAGTTATTTATAGTCTACGTCTGGTTTGTATTTAAAAAAAAAACATGGGATTTTGCTTTATTCACAACACCTTACAATGTGAATTGTCTCTTTAATTGTCTTTTTTTCCATTCATTCAACCCTTATTTAGACAGGTAAATCCCATTGAACCTTGACAACTCATTTACAAGAGAGACCTGATTCCAGCAAAGAATGATGACAACAATGGACAACAGCGACAACAACAAATATAAAAAGGCATACAGATTTTTTATTTATTTTTTAACAAATAGGATGGCCAAAATAAGTAACTAAAACAGCTAGATTTCATTACACACATTTTAATCCTCTTTTATCATATAATCAGGTATGGGTGGTAACAGATGGTCTGCAGTATAATATCTGCAGTCTGTATGTGATGCAAGGTTTAAAGCAACGTAAAACATTTATTTAAACCAGTGTAAAAAAAACCCCTGAAGTTTAAGTTGATTTTGATGGTTGAAATCTAGCCTGGAATAGGCCTCAGTCTGACCCGCAGATAGCTCGTGGGGCCTTCTTTCTGATTCTCCACCCTGCAACATTTGAGATCATTGCCAGTGCAGGTAAGATACTGACCACTTGTAGCCTCTCCATAGGATCTTGCTGTAAAGAATCCAAATCAGCTGACCCAGATAAAATTATTTTAACAAACAAAAACTGTTAGACAGATTTTTGAAAAACAATAATTAAAATGGGCATGTTGGGTTTTAATTCTGTCATTTTAAAATGCTTAATATTGACTCTAAATTATAATATATTATAATAAAATAAAAAATAATGTAAAATTCTGTATATATAAAAACATAATGTTTACTGTAATGTGTTGCTTTTTTAAAATATGTTAATAAAGTAATAACTTGCAAGGTCAATTCACGAACTAGCTCGTGTTGAAGTTAAACTGGTGGAACAGAAAAAGACACGAACCAAAATACTTTTTGTAATCCCGTGATACCACGCCTTACTACTTCAAACATGCACCAGATTCATATTTCCAATAAATTTAAACGTCTGCGCCTCCAAACTCGAGCTATTTTTAGTCTTTTTCATTCATAATAGCCCCACGTGAACGCCGCGGGCTATAATAAGAACAACGTATACGCTCCGCTTTTGCGTCAATGGAATTCCGTGCTTGCGTCACACGGAAGAACGTCAGCGCGTCATGCGCGACGCTGATTGGCTCCCTGACCCGGAACGGATCACCCCTCCTTCACCATATTTGGGCACAGACCCGCCCTTTTGTCGACAAAACCAGCAGCTTATGGAGCGGGCTGCGTTGGTCTGATCCAGAGTGTGTATGAGCGTGGCCGAGTGGGTGTGTGTGTGCTGACAGCAGCTGGAAGAGGTGAGTTGACCTGTCTCCGGCTTGGAGTTAATAAAAACGCTTCAGGATCCGGATATTCACATCAAACAGGTGAGTGAAGGTTGACTTGTTTAGCCACATGATCATGTTTGTACTTTCATCTGTCTCGAAGTAACCTCCAAAGAAACTCAATGCAAAATTAGATATCTTTGTGTATTTAGGAATGGTTTAAAATACTTTTAGAGGGTTTTAAGAAAGTTTGAGCATGTTTGCATATTTTTAAGGTATTTTACTCTCTCTTTAAACTTTATTCTCAAATATCTATTACTTGCAAACTACACAGTAAAATTTCCAGAGTAAAATTTACTCAATTTGAAAAAAA